CAGGGCAGTAAAACTCTGAATTGCTTTATTTATTGTATGATAAATGGGTTTGAAGATAGTATTGTTGGCATTTTGTTGGTGCTTTAAAATCGTATATTACCTATTATTTCTCGTCTTTAGCCATATCTGCATCATTATCTTGCTGTTGATCAACCAACTTTTTTGGTCACATGATATGTAGGGGTCCAAAATTTGGCTATCGTGGAAAAGTGGTCCTTGCTTTTGAAGAAAATGGATTATCAAAAATTGGAGTTAGATTTGACAGACAAATTCCTGAGGGCAATGATCTTGGGGGTCTGTGCGAAGAAGACCATGGTTTCTTTTGTGCTGGTGATCTCCATGTTCAGGCTTTTTGAACTTATTTGCATGATTTAATTTGCTTTTGCCTTTTGCTAATTATTCAACCTGTTTTCTCTCTCTCGCTATCAAGCCCGCTTGCTTCGACTAGATAATTCTGGAACTGAAGATAATGATAAGGATTCCTATGAAGAGTTACAAGAGGTAGGTTCGGCTTTTTTCCATTTAGACTAATGTTCTTTGAGATTTTCCATTGCTACTCTTGCGCTTATTTACTCAAGTATATTAGGTTGTATCTGAAGAAAGTAAAAATGGTCCTTTCATTATATTTATTAAAGACATAGAAAAATCAGTGACGGGAAGCATAGAGTCGTCCTTAGTTCTAAAGGGCAGACTTGATTTCCCACCTGGCGTTTTGGTAATTGGCTCCTACACCCAAACAGATAGCTCCAATGAGAAGGTAATGCTTGTCGTTCCTCCTTTCCCTTTTTCCTTTGATCTTTCTTCAATGTTTTCTTTTTCTTTTTTGTGATTTTTACTTCATGCAGGATGAGTGTTTATCCTGATACCCTGACATCTTTTTCCTTACTAATCTTCTCGGGTTAATCAATTTGCAGGCTAATCCTTGTGGTCATCTTTTTAAAAAATTTGGGAGCACCCAGGCAGCACTTCTAGACTTAGCTTTCCCAGTAAGTTTGAACTTGAAGTTTGAACAAGTATTGAATGCTCTGGTCTTCCTTAAGATTGTTCAGTTGTTCCTGTTTTACCTTGTTTTTCTCAGACAAATTTTAGTTATACGTTTTGTGTGATTCTGATAGTGGTTACTCCTCGTGCTTAGCGACATAAAATTGGCCATATGTGGCAAAGAGGATACGTGTCATATGAACCATAGACGTCGTTGCATATTTTCTGCATCTGAATATGCCTGTGTGTTCGCGACACACACAAAGGGTGTAACTTCATAAACTTTTTTGGCAATATCTTGAGTTCCTATCATAGATGAAATCACTTTTTCTTAAATTTCAAATAAACAGCTTGTTAGAACAAGTGCACAATTCCGTGGAAATAATTGCGAAGAACAAGCACAAGAGTAAACAACAAGCAATCACAAATACAAAGTTTTACATGGTTCACCCAATTTGGGCTATCTCCACGGTAGAGGTGTCAAAGAAATTCTACTCTAGAATAGGGAAATTAGTACAAGATCTCAAAAGGCAAAAGCTTAACTCTCAAGAACCCTCTCTAAACTCTCTGTTGTTTCTCCAGAAAAATGCAATGACGGCAGACTAACCTGAAAAGTGTTTTGATGATATCCTAAATGCCCCTCAATTAGCCTTAATCGTGGGCTAGTCCTCATCGTTCATTTGAGAGATGCTTCTGTGATTAGGAGTCCGAAAAGCAATCCGATGAAGACTTATAATTCACGTGAACTGAAGTGTCCTCAGGTGCTGGAAACCAACAAACTGGACTAGAGTCCAAAGTCAATTAGGACTTTAATAATAACATCAAGTGTCATTATTTAATAGAGTTCACAATGAGATGCAGCTATCCAATTTATCACTGGATAATAGCTCATAAGTAGTAAGAATTCTTGTGGGTTTTGAGGCCTAGTTCAACACAGCTTGCGGTAACAACACAACTTTCTTTGTACCTCTTTGCTTCACTAGAAATCCTAATTTTTGCTCCTTGTACAACTGTTAGTATTACCTGAGGTCTGTACCCTACACTATCTCATCCTTAGTCTTTTATATAAATTATATAGTTTTACATAAGTTGATTCAGTAACAGCTTTTGAGCTTTCTTTCTGATTGCATAATTTTAATTTTATATTTCCTGCATTTTTTCTGATGCATAATGTTTACGGATTTCCCCTTTGCCTTATTCGTTCTAATTTCGTCATTCCACTATCAGTTCTCTTTAATATACAATGAAATATTTCTAGAGTCTAATAATCTCTTTGCTATTCTTAAAGTCCCTTCTATTGCACCAAACTGTGAAATTATGGTGAGGCTTGAAATTTATAATTTTACTCTCTGACATGCCCCCGCCATTTATTGAGTCAAAATGTGGACTGAAGCAACATCATTTTTTAATCTGTTTTAAAATGTATGGCTGGTGGGATTTGAACCTGGGTTGCGTTAGTAGATCTAGGGGTGGCAAACGGGTCGGGTTGGGTCATTTCGGGGCAGGTCATGACCCGACCCATATAAGTCTGACCAGGACCCAACCCATTTAATAAACATGTCATGTTACCCAACCCATTTATTAAATGGGTCACCCAACCTACAAAGTGACCTATTTAAGTTTAATGGGTTCGTGGTGAAATGCTCTGCAGGACGCTCAACAAATCATGGATCTTTCTTATCTCAAAAGAAGAGGAGAATGAACTTCTTTACATTGTTTAATTACAAAGAAATAATAGCAAAATGATGCCCTATAAAATCAACTGTAGCTAATGAGAATTAGTCTTTATGATATAGAGCACTGAGAACAAAATCAATTAAATTTGCTTGCATAAACATCAATTGAATCATAAACCCATTTAAAAATCAAACGGAAAAATAAAGAAAAATACAAAATAAGCAAATCTAAAATGATTGTGGCAGAAAAATATGATCTTAACTAAGAAATTAAAGTATTCAAATCAATTACACACCTTTAATTGAGAAATTGGCGTACTTTAATCAATAAACCCTAAAAGTCTTAACATTTAGAAGACAAACTGAAAAGAACTTGTCTTCAAAGCCAGTGCTGAACTTCCCGATTGTAGATCACACAAACTTCATTGATATACTAGGGAATTTAGAACGAAAAAGCAAAAGGACTTGGAGTTTATGTCAAGCTCAGAAGCTACACGAGAAAGGAGCGAACAAAGAATCTATGGTGCTCGTCGTTGCCGATCGCCGCCTCCGTCGCCGATCTTCTCCTTCGCCAATCGCTTCCACTGTCGCTGCTTATACATTCTGGTGCCGGTTGCCGATCCCCATTGCTTTTGGTGGTTTCAGATGAGAAAACCTTGGCATGAGGAGGAAAAGAAAGAGGTGCTGATTTGGGGTTAGGTAACAAACGAGTCATAATTGGGTAATCTAGGGTTGACCCGGTTATTATATGGGTAACTCGGGTTGCCCCGAATATTACCTGTACCCATTTAACTTGACCCGAATTCAGGTCAGTGGGTCAGGTCAAAGTTTGTCATCCCTAGTTGGTACCATGTTGAAGTTCCTTCTACTACACCAAAACTCCTAGGGAATGGTGGGTTGAAATTTATAATATTATACTATAGAAACTACTTTCATTACAACCAGAGATTATTCACCATGATAGTGGTTTCTTTATCTATTTTCCTACTATATCTTGTCCTTTAATGTTCTGATTTTCTCTGCTTTGACGTTGCAACATTTTGTCCCTGTTTCTTGTCCATGTAGTTTCTTTTTCCTCTCGATCGAAATCTAGTTACCATCAATCAATCCTTGCATCTTGTGTGCTCAAGCCCTATCCCGCTATAAATTTACAATTTTTACATGATATCTGTCTTGAAAGCACCCTAATGCCACTAGGAAAGAACCCTAGATGGGGGTGAATAGGGTTTATGCTAATCTAATCCGGTTTATGCCAAATTAAAACTTTACGAACAAATATATCCTAGCACAAGAGATATGAACAATATATGTGCAAGGATAATAAACCAAGGGCAATATGAACACAAACAAGAGAGTGAGAATATAAACAATAAGCAATACACAAAGGCGATATAAGATATGAACACAAAAATAAGTACGCTAATACAATCACAATCACAAACACAAGATATGATCACGGAGTTCGGTCCCCCACGATCTAAATCTCCGCTCCTCACCTCGAGGAGATCTCCACTATCATACCGGGTTTTCTATGCTTACCCGAAAAACATTTACACCTCACAATGTCGGTTTTCAATGCTCACCGATCAACATTCACAATCACTCACAATGTAACTACACTACCACCTCAAGTGTTGGTCTCTAGCCCGTGTCTCCCTCAAGTGTTAGGAATTATAATCTCTCTCTAGGCATTATCATCTACCCACTCCTCTTGGGACGATCCCGTTTCTCACCACGCACTCATCTTGGTATACTAGTGTAATACAAAGTGAACCTCATAATTATAGCTCAATACAATAATCAATTTTCTAGTTCACCGAAAACTTTATAACTTACACACTTGCAATTACACTTCACACCCTCTAAGTGTTGGTCTAGCCCGTGTCACCTTCCTCAAGTATTCGGAATTACCACCTCTCACTAGGTTTTACTACCGACCCCGTCTCTCACCAACCACTTCTCTTGGTGTCCAAGTGTAATACAATGTGTAACTCAATGAAGCTCACAAATATAAATTTGTTCTCTACAATAGATGAGAACACAATGTAGGCTCACACTCAATGTCACGCAAACCCCACAACCTAAATTATACAATGTATAAAAATACAATAAGTTCAATGGTTATGTATGTAAACGATGAGTAAATAAAATCAACTAAACTCAATATAAACACTAGCTTAATGAATTGATATCAAATGATATAAATATAAAGCTAGATTGAGTTTAGAAAACTTCTCTATGGATAACAAGAGAGTGGGAGAAGAGTGAATGCTCAAACACCAAAGGATGATCTCCACTTGCTCTTGTGAAAGTTTCTTCACTAACTTGTAAACACACGAAACAAACTTTGGAACCCTTAAACAAAACTTGTAAACACTTTTTTTAGAACTTTTCTCTAGTTAAATTGAATTGAGGAAATGTGGGGGTATTTATAGAAAACCCCAAAGCCAAGAGAAACCAATGCAAAAAGACTAAAAACCTAAATCTGTAAAAGGCTAAAAAAACTAACCGTTACAGCATCAGTTGACTCAGTCGACGGTCGACTGATGAGCTGATCGTTAGAGGCATTTTCCAGCTCATCAGTCGACTGACGGACCTTACCAGTCGACTGATGATCCCATCAGTCGACTGGTCAGTCGATCAAAACAATACATAAACTTTTTATTATTCCAGACACTTTCTTCAGTCGACACATCAGTCGACTTACCAGTCGATTGATAACAGGTTATCAGCCTGAATCTTAGTAAAACTGATTTTTGAAGTGTCTTTAAAAATAGCAAATAAATTCTAAAAAATATAAAACTTTGGGAAATCATTGTAAACATGTAAATGAACATGTTACAAAAAGAATTTTTGAAATTGCACTTCACATTTGTGAAAACTCATCATTTTTCAAAACTAGTCCAAAACATAAAAATACAAAACACATGTTTTTGATATTTTAACTAAACCATGTTTTGAAAACTTTATAAACTGATTTTATAGACTTGATAAAAGATACAAACTATTGTTGTTAAGTCTATAAACCAAAAACTCAATATTATGCAAAAATAAAGTTTTGCACAATATGCATTTAACAAAATGATAAATATGAAACATGTATATATATGTAAACAATAATATAGGTTTCATATTTATATAAACTTGTAAACAATAAAACTAAAACATGTATATATATATATATATATATATATATATAACCAAAACTTGTATGTGTGTGTATGTGATTGAGCTTAAAGTACTAACACACATAATATAAAAACCTAAACTAAATATACCCAAGCTTGTGATCTTTAACGAAGCTCTATCTTGGTACACTTGCAGATGAAGCTTGAACTTTGATCTTCAACATGAATTGCATTGCTTCACTTCACTATTCCGCCAACCTCCATTGGATTTGATCGTGAATGCTCGATTCCATCCATCCTCTAACATGTTGTTTGTCTACAATCAATACAAAAACACGAACACTAGACAAATAACGTTAGATGTTAGATGTAAATTGTTTGTAAATCATCATCAAAACAAAAGGACCCAACATGTCTATCCTTCCTATATCGAAATAAATCTGCTTGACTATGACTTTTCCGTTTCAAAAATCTCTCTCTCTCTCTCTCTCACACACACACACAACATGTATTTATTCGCCAACTTTTAATTCATGGCTCTTCGTTCTTCATTGGCCATTACCTGCATGCATCCTTTTGAATCGTGATGAATGCTTACGAACACTAATTAAGATGCAATTTTCATTTGTTTCATGTTTACAATGCATATTCTAGCCTGTAGGACTTTAATGGGCTAGCTTTGATTTCATATTTTTAGTTGTCAATTGGTAGATTTAAATATTAGAGCTCACTGAAATGCAGGATAGCTTTGGAAGGTTGCATGAGAGAAGCAAGGAAGTTCCAAAGGCAATGAAGCAAGTAACCAGGCTTTTTCCAAACAAAATTTCCATCCAGCTTCCACAGGTACACTGCAGTGATGTACAAATTACCAATACTTTTTGCTATTTATCTTTGCAGAAAGTGTTCCTGAATATTATGGAAATATGTAGGAGGAGGCCCAACTTCTAGAGTGGAAACATCAACTAGACCGCGATATTGAAACTCTTAATGCCAAGTCGAACATTTTGAGTATCCGCTCTGTAAGTTGAACTTGGATTATAGCTGCTGACTTACTGATCCACTTTGAATTTTTGTAGAATGTTTGTCTGTCCTGCTTTCTGCAAATAGAAAATTGATGATGTTTTTGTACTGTGCCATGTTCCTTTTTCTCACATAACAACTTGATGCTTTTTCTTATGAAAAAACATATCATAATGTAAATTTACCCCCAAATGGCTGTCAATGATGCCTATAGGCTATAGTCTATTGCTTATTTAGCCTTTCCCTATAGAAAAGTTACAATTCTTGAGTACTTCTTGGAAGGTATAGACTCTGCTCCCTGTTTCCCTCTGTTCCTTTTTTTTTTAACTTATAGATCAACTGAGTCAAACCTATATCCTAATCACAGTAAAGCTCTCAAAACACTGACCTAAGCACCTCATATCCTCAATGTTATCAATTTTATCAAGAGGATATATAGCACAATGGTTAAAAGGCTTTGAAGGAACAGTAGAAGGTAAAAATATTATAGAGGAAATAAAATCAGAAGTGAATAATGCCAAAGCAATAGCTAAGTTTGGAAGAAAGTTATTAATCCGTTATATGGGAGTAATAGATGAACATGATGAAAATGAAATGTCTAAAAGAATAATAATTAGTGAATTAATATATTAATTAAATAATAATCAATAAGAATAATATTTATTCTCAAAAACAAAAACTATGAATAATTAAGTAAATAATAATTATAATAACTTTAACTATAATAATTATTTATTATGAAAAATAAAAGTTATTAATTAGTTAAGTAAAAATTAATTATTTCATAATATGAAATACATTTAATTAAAATATATTTATATACCACATTATTTGTAATTATTAATTACTAATATTGATATTAATTAATTAATTTAATAAAACTAATTGAAGAATAATTATTTATTCTAAAAGATAAAAATTATAAAAAGTAATTTAATAGTAATTATTAATTACTTTATTTATTGGTTAACTAATTAATAATAAGAATAATTACTTCTTAGAATATAAAATATAGATTATTAATTTAATAGCAATCATTAATAAAAGTATTTATTAATTAAATAATTAATAAGAATAACTATTTTATAATAACAAAATATTTGGTTTAATATATTTTATATATCACATTATTGATGGTTATTGATTACTAATATTGACACTATTTAATTAATTTCTTATTAATTAAATAATAATTATTAATATAATTTATTTATTTATTATTTCATAAGAAGATAATATTTAATTAAAATAATTCAATATTTAAAGGGATGAGGGTTTTATGGTCTTTTGGCATTAATAAGTAAAACTACTTATAAGTAGGAAAAATTAAGTTAGGATTTCCCAACTTGTTTTTTGGCTACTTATGAGTTAAAAATAAGTAGATAAGTGAACCTTCACCAAACATGAGTTTGGTGACTTATAAGTAAAAAGTTACTTGTAAGTGAAACGAGTAACTTATAAGTATGTTGCCAAATATGTTCTTAGTCCTAGAGGTTGCTGAACCAATCTCTGGGACTTAATACACTTATTTATTTATTTTTCATTTTTTCCCTTATGACCAGAGGACGGGGTATCTCTATGTTCGAACACTTGCACTCTTTTTAATCATACATACTCTTACTGTCTTGTTATATGTTACCATACTTTTTGTATTCTAATGATTCAATGTCCATTTTCATGCTATAAAGTATACATTTGTTGATAAAAGTATATAAACAACAACTGAAAGTTAGGGTTATCAAAGCACATTCTCCTGGAATGCTGCTTCGCATCCATGCTAGGCATGAAATATTTTCATTTTCCTTCTGCCAATTTCTCACCCTTAGTTGTTTTCTATCATTGGCCGCCCATCTAACATGTTGTTCCTCTACCTTGGCTCCTGTTGCTCCCATCCAATATATTTAAATTTCAGAGTGCGTCTATGCTTTTGTATCTTCTTCACTCTCACTCAGGCCGATATATAAGTGACCCAATTATATCCATTCTACTTAGACCATAACCCTTTCTGCTTCAAGTTCGGCTTCATCCTCGCAAATTGTTCTTTTAGCGTTGGTAACATTGTTATCAACAACCAAACCTGAAATGCACGTTTTAGATTTTATATCATTCCCACACTAATGTAATTGAAGTGATTAGTTTAAGATGAGGGCATACGAGGCTGTAGGTTTTAGCACTCATGGTTTTCTGGACACATCTTCACAGGTGAAATCTAGCAGTAGATTTTTCTTTTTTGCTTCTATTTAAGTTGCATTGGAGCGGGTACATGTACGAGTACCGGTACGGAACACGACAAATTTGTAAAATGTAGGGTATAGGTACACGACTACATTTAAACTAATAATTTATGCGAGGTCATTATTGTTTGGCAATTCATGTCATATTAGAAAAATAAAATTCATATCACATTTTAATGTTATTATTATTATCATTATAAATTGAAAACGGCTTGTTTTTGAACTAGCCACCCCTTTAAGATTAAAGTTTTGAACTTGGATGTGGCCTGAAACGAACCCAGCCCGTCTAATGACCCTGAAGAAATGGATGTGAAGTGTAGGATATATGCCAAGAAGTGTATGACAAGTGTTTTAAATTAAAACATATACCATATAATTGTGTAGATGTCTGAATATATTTATGCATATATCCAAGGAGTATCCATATAGTTTCGGTACAGGTATGTGTCGGGTATATGTCATGTATGGGTACAACTTCATGATAGAAATACCGAGTAACATAGGCTGCTATGAATTTTGAGTTGCAAGGTTGTCCTATAACCCTATTAGTAGCTGATGCTTAAATCTTAATGCAAAACGAGTTATACTATCCTCTTTGTGAATGCCAGTCCACATGTTATTCTAACTGCTTTAGAAGCTGGAAGAAGAGTGCTGTTACTAACAGTTTATTTGTGAATTACTAAAATCTAAATTGATCTTACTTTGTTGTATTGATTGAGTGTTCTGCCTAATGGTTTCTTCGTGATTCTTTCTCATTAGGGGACGTTAATTTTTCATTATTTTGATTTCAATTCTTCATGGTTGTCCAGTTTCTATCCCGTAGTGGACTGGAGTGCAGTGATCTTGAAACCATAGACATAAAAAATCAAGCACTTACTACGGAAGGTGAGCAAGTTGGTCTCCATTTCCTTCATAGTTTGTTTAGCTCATGTGAACCATCTGTAATGAGTGGTTTTATATACAGACATCGACATGATAGTTGGTTTTGCTCTTAGTCATCATCTTAAGCACAGTACAATTGAATCATCTTCTAAGAATGATAAGCTTGTGCTTTCCCTTGAAAGGTTAGATTATTCTTTATCTTCATTTTTCCTTCTATAAGAACTTGAGGAACAAGATATATTTTTGGCTTGTAGCATATTCATATTATGTTTATCAATTTTACAGCATTAGGCATGGGCACAGTTTGCTCGAAAACATTCAAAGTGATACCAAGTGTTCAAAGAAATCGCTCAAGGTAATTATTGTACACCCACCTTCTCTTCTGCTTACAGCTTTATCTGCTGCAGTGAGCTTTTGTTGTCTAATTAAGTTTTTGGATCCTATGAAGTTGACATCCTGAAGGTTTTCAGGATGTTGTTACTGAAAATGAATTTGAGAAGAGGCTTCTGACTGAGGTTATACCTCCTAACGATATTGGAGTTACATTTGATGACATTGGGGCATTGGAAAATGTAAAGGACACCTTGAAGGAGTTGGTGATGTTACCATTGCAAAGGCCAGAGTTATTCTGTAAAGGACAATTAACAAAGGTACTGGATCTTTTCAGCCTACCAAATGGGAGATTTATATGTACTATTGATGTTCTGATCTCGGTTGATAACAATGATAATCAAAACTCATCTAACCATCATGGTATCGGTGTGAATGCTAGAAAAAATCTTTACTGCCATCTTGTGTGGAAAAGAAACTTTATGAAACAGAAAAGTTCTTTTGATTCATGTTTTTGTTTGTACTAAAATGAATTAATAGAGGCTTCTTACAGTAGTTAGCTTTTATTTTATGTTATTTTATTTTTTCGTGTGATACTCTGGGAAGTTTGGAAGTGAACCCACACTAAGGTGCAATGTGTATAAAAGTGGAAGCGCAAGGCAAAGGGTTAGACCCTTTAATGAAGCGAAGCGTGATGCGTAAGCCTCATGAGTTTAATTATTTTACTTTTAAAGTTTGTAAGAAGTATGAACATAAAGTATATGGTGGTATAATAATTTACAAATAAATACATTCATGTCCTAATTAGCAAATAGGATTAAAATATATGAAGTATAGATTCAAATCATAATAAATTGATTCACATGCATAACTTATATATATCTTGTTTACACTCACATGGTCACATTGAAGGTCATTTTAATGTTAGTCAAAAATCTTTTTATATCCTTCTATCTTGATTAAAGCGTGCGCTTCAAAAAAGAAGCACTGCATGAAGCACGCGAAGCACACACTTCAGTTATGCTTTAAGTGATGAGGCATAAGCTTCAAGGGAATAGCTTCTCTCTTGAGTTTTGAAGTGTTTACCCTTCAAAAAGTTGTAAAGTTAGTTTCAAAGCGAGTTTCAAAAAAAGCTTTTTTAAAACATTGCTAAGGTGATACTACATCCGGACTTATATGTATACGTAGCGTACTCCCACACCCACCCCCCAGCGCGCAGCAATGAAAGCAGTATATTTGGCCAGATACTATTGTTGAGGTCTAAAGATAAATAAGTTTTATTAAATTCAAAACTTGGCCTGTAAGTTTTGATTTCTTTTATCCAGGTGACAATCATAACTGTTGATTAGTTGCCACTTGGACTCTGTTTTTCTTCCCTCTGTTGCCAGTTGTTAATGTTTTCACACTATAATAGTTCTTTTTCCTTCTTTTTGTGCATCTGCGTATGCTTCTTCTTTTATCTTTTCTTTATCTTATTCTTCTGTTTTCCCCTCCCTTTTTTGGGCTGAGGGGTGAGAATGGTCGAGAGAGTTCTAGGTTCTTTTTGGCCTTTTCCATTTTCTCTTCTCTCTTTGGCATAGTGCACTCTTTCTTTTCTTCTTGGTTCCTTTTAATTGCGATTTTAGACTTTCTTGCTTATAGCTGCTGCATTTCCTGTTCAGATGTGATGGTTTTAGGCTTTTAGCCTTACTTTGCTCTATGGCAGTTAATACCTGTACTACAAGTCAGAAATGATTAGAAAATCTGTGGCATCTTCATCCTGCAAGTTCAAATTTCTATTCTTCATCTTTGAGACCCATGAATTGTTCCTTCGGTCACCTTTTTGAAACTATATTTGGAAGTACTGTTTGCATGCAATGCTGGATGCAACTTAGTTAATTTGTAGCTTTGTATCTTAAGCCTCATTTGGTACGCATGAAAGGGTGGGAATGGAATGCTCTCATTTCAACTTTCTCATTCATGCATACCCGACACAATATCTTTTTAGAAGCTAGAATGCTCATTCTCACTTCTCATGCATTTCCCTTTATGTGAGAATGGGCATTCCAAATGAGACGGTAGTAATGGGCATTCCTACGTAAGTGGGAATCAAAATTTTGAAATAATATCTTGATTGCTTATTAATTACTCATACCAAAAATAAAAAAGATTGTCATTCCTACTTAATTCCCTAATCGCACCCAAACGCGAGAATGAGAATGAACATTCCATTCTTGCAGTTATTCCATTACATTCCTTAATTCATTCCATTCTTGCAGTTATTCCATTACATTCCTTAATTCATTCCATTCTCACTTGACTTGAATTTCACGTACCAAACGAGGCGTTAGGTTCTTCGTGTCCCTTGAATTCTCATCTTTGAATGTTTTAATTCATGATTGTATTAATCAAAGGATTCAAGGGGAATTGGGATCTAGCTTTGTCTATGCCGTGGTTATTTGTGATGCATTATCCTTCTTTCTCTGCGACCTGTTAATAGCTTATTCTGTCTGCATAATGTCACTACCAGTGCTGCTCGTTACTTTTGCATGACTGTAGATCCTTGAATGACTGTGTATCCTTGACGACTATTAACAAGCGTCATTTTTTAAATATGCTCTAATAATTTATGCACGACCTAGAAAATTATATCTTATATGCTGTGACGCATGTTTGCTATGTCCTTCATGCTTTAGTAGGTCATTATCCTTGAGATTAGTTTCATCTTTTACTGAACTTAATGCCAGGAAGTTCATTGCGGTGCTAATCTGAGCAACCTTTTTCAATCAACAGTGTTATGCCTGTACATTCATTTTTGCCACCACTTCTATGAATTACACATCTGTATAGCAGTTCAGTTTGTGATGTCGCTGCGACAACAACAAATCCGAATCTCAAAGCATATGAGTATCTATTTGTATGACTCCATGATCAACTGATGGATTCATATTTCCATCTTGTTACACCAAGAAGTATTTGAAACTAAGGGAGTTTAGTGAATAAAATTCGAAGAAATCTATTATTGGACTATAATAGCTATCGGGCATATACATCTGTTGAGTATGAAAAAACCTAAACATAAAGTGCTTCAACTCGTAGAACTTTTTATCACATTCACATTTAAAGTGGGTAATGAGAGAGTGGCACCATTTCAGTAGGATTATTTCTGAGGTGTTTCTGCAGAAATTCTAGTTAATTTTCCTTGAGAAAAAGTAAACCACAGTCCTCTTGTGTTATTACTCTTGTAATTTCTAAACATTGAGAACAAACCCTCTACCATCTACATCAAGGATTCCACTATTTATATGTTAGTCCAGTTTATTTTAGGAACCATGCATAAAAATGAACTTTCAGAATAGGCTATCTTTATCAGTTATAATGGATTTGTTTTTTTGAGCCTGCTTCACCTTAATTGTTATTTTGAGCATAATCACTATGAGCGATTAGTTGAACTATGTATTCCTGTAGTCAGTTGCTTAGGGTGTAAATCCAGGTTAATGTCAGTACCCTATAGCTTTATGCCCCATATGATATGGCTAATTCTTTTGATAAGAATCTATATTTTCTAATAGGTAGTAGTGTTTATCTTTTCCTCGGATGGGTCATGTGTCTCTGCTATTATGACTGCAGAGTGCATCTTATTACCAAGTTAATAATGGAAAGATTCTCTTTCTGTCTCCAGCCTTGTAAGGGGATACTGCTCTTTGGTCCTCCCGGTACAGGGAAAACAATGCTTGCTAAAGCTGTTGCAACAGAGGCAGGTGCTAATTTTATTAATATATCATCTTCAAGCATAACCTCCAAGGTACTATTCCGATATCACAATTATAATTTGGGCAATTACTTACACGTTTCTCTTTCTTGCCATTCTCTAATGCCTTCTAACCTTTGTGGCAGTGGTTTGGTGAGGCGGAGAAGTATGTGAAAGCAATTTTCTCTTTAGCAAGTAAAATTTCCCCAAGTGTCATCTTTATTGATGAGGTTAGTAACAGAATTTCTGTGATTATCTTTATTTCTTTAATTACTACGATTTAGGATCCTCATATGAATGATGTACTACAATTAGACATGGAAATTCTTCTACTGAGAGACATTAGGAGATATAGTTACAGGGTACGTAGTATGTAGCTGGTTGTGGTACGAATCCGAGTATGCAATTCACCATTTGGAAAATTTGGATTCAATGAGCTGTACCTTGCTTTGGTACGCAAGTTCGGTTTGTGGGACATTGTATAACTATTTTGGGTGTGCTTACCATTTTCCAAAATGTATAGGAGAAAGCTAGATACCAGAAAACTAATTATGCATTTCAATATTTTTCATACAGAATACTTAAAAATTATTCTTTTTTATAGATTTTGTGTTTTGTTCTGTTTTTCTTTTCACACAGTTTGTGTTGGTATCAAGGTTTCATTTCACATTTTATTAACACGGGTATTTAGTTACATTAAAGTCATTGACTCATATATCCTATTGTGCCTCCGTTTACTCGATTGCGCATATTGCATTGCGTCTTGTACATGTACACTTAAAAGGGATTCTGCGCCCTGCATACTTAATTGTAAGCGATACGGTAATTTTGGGGAACTAATTCGTGTATTTGAGAGAATGAGTTCGCAAATGCATCGGGAATTGGTTCCTAAGAACTATACCGACGATGTCAGGGGGGGGTTAGGAATGCTTTACGAACTATATAATATATATATATAATAATATATATAATATATATATATAATATAATATATATATATATATGTAATATAGGTGAAAATCCTATCTAACGTTATAAGTGAAAGGAAATGAGGTTTCACCAAACTTTAATCCAGGATCTTACGAGGGATTCCCTTGCATGATATGAAGGAACTTTCTTATATTAATAAATGAGTGCTTAAAAAGTATTTTGTGATAACTATTCGCCTATGCCACTGTAGTTCGATAGGAGTCTTGTCTGCTATATATATATATATATACTATATATATATCATATATATAGTATATAATTATAATTAGACGAGAGAGAGAGAGAGAGCAAGACTCTCTCTCTATGTATGGTATATTATATATATATAAATATTATATATAATCATAATATTAGCACATATCATAGAGAGAGAGACTCTCTGGCTCTATATATATAATATATATATATATATATATATATATATTATATTAATTATATAGTATAATAATATGATATATAATATATATATATACTATAGTAATATCTATACATAAGAGAGAGAGATCCTTAATGTCAATCTTAATGGACCATTTACCAACTTTCTTATCAATTGATGAACCTAGGGATCCATGCAAGACATAAGGAGCTTTAATATATATATATATACACACACACACACACACATACAGTGTTTTCAAGGGCGCGCGTCTCATTGCGCCTTACGATGCGGGGCGGTGTCGAAGCGCTCCACATCTGATGCAGGAGCGCTTTTTGCGCCTCGCGTTCATCCTTACTTTGTGTAGGGTGCATATAGTACATATCCTCGTATAGTTTTATTTGTTAACATTTCAATCGAATCTTTATACTTGATATTCCATATCCCAAAAAGTAAAATAAATCAATTAGGCCTTTTTAATAGCCTTCAATTGAGGACAATTACTAATCCTTTGCTTGGATATTAATCTTGATTTAACATTTGATTTAAAATTTTATGAATTTTGCTACTACGTTGGGTGTTAGCATTAGAAATTAAGGCATTATATTGTGATTTTGTAGTAATATATTATTTATCATGATATTTTTTATGTAAATTCTAAAAACATGTTCTTTCGCGCTTGATTACATATATTGAAAAATTATGTGTGCGGTGTGCGCCTCGCATCACTCGGGCGCGTGCATCGCGTTGCGCCTTGCGCATGTGCGCATAAAGATGCTTTGCGACCCGCATTGCGTTTTGCGCATTGACAACACTGTGTGTGTGTATATATATATATAGATAGATAGAGAGAGAGAGAGAGAGAGAGAGAGAGAGAGAGAGAGAGAGAGAGAAGTGAACTTATGTCAACTTAAGTGGACAAGAGGCATTTGTCCACCAAACTTTCTATCCACTCATATATATATATATATATATATATATATAAAAAATAAGGAGTGGAGAATTTTTAAAAAAAAGGCTATTTTTGAAAAATAATAAGCAAAACTGACCCTTTTATGAAAATATTAGCAGCATCGATCTCTAAGTGGCCAAAAAGTGGTCGATTTTGCAACATACTGATTTTAAAATGTATGAGACTAGTAGTCACGTGTAATTAGTGGTCGCTAATTACGGTTAATCTGAAATGGTCGTCTCGTGTATTTTGTGATGAAATGTTTAAGGTTTAATTAATGAGAACTAAATACACGGGACTTGTCCCGTGTATTTTAAAGCTGGATTTTTTCAAAATCGACCTCTTTTTAAAAAAGAGATTGGTTTTGCTAATAATTTTACAAAACGGTCGATTTTGCTAATTATTTTTAATAAGGGTCTTTTTTTAATTCTCAAATAATGAGTTCATTGTTGTGGAAGGCACGTCTTAAAGCTTGAAATAACAGACATAAATCATGGATAAAACTTTTTTGCTAAATGAACATTGCCTCCTTTATATCATGCATCTTTTTCTAGTAAATGAAAGAAGGAATACATGCAGTTGCTACTACAGTCAGTATCCTACAAGTGTAGATTTTATTGATCCTTTTTTTAGCATTTTCCTGAAGCTTCCGGTGCATTCTTTTACACTATGCATCCTACATAGGAGCATGAGTTGTCTGCTAAATCAATTATTGTGATCCCCAATCACCTTGCTATTGTAGGTTGACAGTATGTTGAGTAGGCGGCGAAATTCAGGAGAGCATGAAGCTATGCGCAAGATGAAAAATGAATTTATGCTAAACTGGGATGGTCTCCGTACAAAGGATAAAGAGCGAGTATTGGTGCTTGCAGCTACCAATAGGCCTTTTGACCTTGATGAGGCTGTTGTAAGGAGGCTTCCAAGAAGGTACCAAACTGATAACTCTAGCTGTAACGGCGCAGAATGAAAGTGTGTTGTACAGAATTTTGATGTGAAGCTTGGCACCTGCTGTAGATTAATGGTGAACTTGCCAGATGTATCAAATAGAGAAAAGATACTAAGAGTAATACTGGGCAAAGAAGATTTGGCACCTGATGTTGATTTAGAAGCAATAGCTAATATGACTGATGGATATTCAGGAAGTGACCTCAAGGTATATTTTTCTTTTAAATTCTTGCTGTTTTTTAAAAACTAACTAAAATGTTCAGTATTTTTAGCATGAAAACTTCTTCCTGTTGCAGAATCTTTGTGTTGCTGCTGCACATTGTCCAATTAGAGAAATTTTGGAGAAGGAAAAGAAGGTCTGACCGTCTGATTTAGATTCCTTAATTCTCGTTTATTTGGTTTTTGAACCCCATTTTCTTATTGCTTGCTATCTAGTGTTCAAAACATTTCAGGTCAATGCCAAAATGTGACTAGAGTAACATTGGCTATATTAACTGGTCAAATCATTTAATGGATTTATGTTGCACTTTTTTTCTTATTTAAAAGGACTATTTCTATCTTGTATGATTGTTTGCTTGGCTTAATAATGTAATAAGAATTTATCTCTATCTGCAGGAGAGGAATTTAGCATTAGCAGAAGGCAAACCAGTACCACAGTTACGCAGTGACCGGGACATTCGTCCTCTAAACATGGAAGACCTCAAATATGCACATGAGAAGGTTAATTTGTGATTTAGTTTTAGATATATATTTTTAGCCTAGGTTTCTCATAACTGCCAATCGCCAAATATACTCCTGTTGTATTATTTACTTCTGGTTCAACCTTGCAAATCATGTCTTTCCCTTTCTTCCAATGATGTACTTAAAATTCCATTTAATATTTGTTCTGGGTCACGAGTTTGTATCATCATCAGCAGCAGCACACCACCATTATCATCGTCGTCGTGAAAGCTGATTTAGTAGGAAACTCTGCCTTCATGTTCATATAGTTTTAGCCTCATGTTCACACGTGTTAACCTCAGTGAAGGTGAAACCCTCGAAATTCTCCTAGATCAAGAAAGGTTCTAGAAGAAGTTAAGTGTTCCAATCGGGAATTACATGGAACTCATTCCCAACTTCAAAATATTCTCCCGGACAAGTAAAAACTCAGGGAGGCATACAAGGTTTTTTATTTTATGTGACTGCATTTTACTTTCTCCTGTTGCAGTTGATGAGGTTCATCTATTTACACTTCTTATCCGCTTTTCACTACTGGCACAACATTTTCACCCTTTTTAATTTCTATTGCTCTTTTAGATGTGTGCAACTAGAGTGCTAATACATACATTGCATTGCTATTTCAGATGTTTGTCCAAAAAAGCATTCTCCATTTTTCCTCTTTTTTTGGCCCCCACCATCGTTTTGATCCTAGATGGTTCGGGAAGTATCTTTATGACCTGTCAGCGAGATGGTGTCATGTTTGATGAAATTAAGATTTAGATCTAATAGCATTCACAGTGTTATTTGTCCTATGTGACTGTATAACTTCACATGTATTTACACATTTGTTCCTCCATTACATTTGTTCGTCCATGGATTCTGGCGAACAAAAGAAATAAGGTTGTTTTAGAAACAGTCATAGCCATATATTCGGTAATGAGTGTGACTTAACCTACTGAATATTCTTACCATATGAAGTAAATTAAAAACTGGTTTGCTAACTCTGCATGTGTTCTTGTCAAATCCATGATGCAGGTGTGTGCGAGTGTCTCGTCGGAGTCTAGAAACATGAACGAGCTTCAACAATGGAATGATTTGTATGGAGAAGGTGGCTCGAGGAAGAAGGAATCGCTCAGCTATTTCATGTAGAAAGTATCTTAACCCTTTTGTCGTGTACAGTCTTTTTCTTTCTTTCCATTTCGTCGCGCACATTCTTTTTTTATCTTTCTGTTATACAACCTGCCGTACTGAAGAAAGAAAGCATCCAAAAGTATCTCATCGCGTGTTCCTGTTGTTTCCTCCTCGTTTCCCCCTCTTTTGTTCGCATCTAGTGAATCAAAAGTCCTTCATCGTGCCTGTTCTATTTTCTTCTGTTTTGTTCTGTAAGTTGCATTGCAGCTGTAGCTTGGGGATGCTGTTTTATGTAAATTATAATAGAATATAATCCCTTGAAGGGAATAAGGTGTTTAGGTTGCTGTACAAGTATTCTGGGTAGATAAATCTAATATAGATTTTGTTGATAATCAGACTTTTAAGGTTTGGATCTTCTTTTCGTTAATTTCTGTTACCTGCTGCTGTTTATTTCTAATCTTGTTTGTTTGAAATTTGCGATACTTCTCGTATCGAAAATTTTTTCTTGTAATAAGGGTATCATTATTGCTTGAGAAGTGAATCTTGGTGACAGTACTTTACTAATGTCTGAGAGAGCTTCTCTGAGGGATGGAGTCTTGTATATATTCTACTGTTAGTAGTTAGATATCTTTCTTTGGGTTTCTTGTTATTCTTTGTACTTAAATTGTTATTTTGAAATATTTACCCCAGAGCTCTGCTTGGTTGCAACTTGAGCCATGTTGATGTTATTATAGGAATTACATTTTTCAGGGGGAAACTACTACTGGTCTGAACAGAATCAAGAGAGCAGCGCTTGCCCATTTTCATGGGCCTTGACAAAAAAATCTGAAGTGACAGGTCACTGAAAATTTCAATATGGAGAGTGAACTTGAGCTGTAAGTAATTTAATCATGTATCACTTGACAATAGATTTAAAAAATACAAATTGGTTTGTAGCTCTTATTGGTGCTCTTATACAACCATAACTATCATCTCCTACAGATAGAGGTTGGTTCAGATAAAATTCAAATCCATATTTTTGTAACCAGCACACCCATATAGGGTTCAAGGATTCTTCCTGCTT